ACGTAATCCTAACGCTAACCTAACCTACCCTGAAGCGAACCTAACCTAACCTAACTCAAACCTAACCTAACCCTAACGTAAAACTAACCTAACCTAACGTAATCCTAACGCTAACCTAACCTAACCTAACGCTAACCTAACCTAACCTATCCAAACCAAACTCTAACCTAACCAAACCCTACCCTAACCTAACGCTAACCTACCCTAACCAAACCTAACCTAACTTAACCAAACTCAAACCTAACCTAACCAAACCCTAACCTACCTAACCTAACCTAACCAAACCTCCTAAATATGGCTATAAAGTATAATATTTAATAATTAAGTGACCTATAAATTGTAGGGTGTCTATTCTTCATATGATCCGCCGTGTGAGCTGGTGTAAGCCGTTGTGGTAAATCCTTCAGTTTATCAACGGAAACGCCACTATGAACCACACCGCGCCACTATGAACCACACATCGCCACTATGAACCACACAGCGCCACTATGAACCACGCCGCTCCACTATGAACCACACAGCGCCACTATATGAACCACACATTGCCACTATGAACCACACCGCGCCACTATGAACCACACACCACTATCGCCACACTATCGCCACTATGAACCACACGGCCACTATGAACCACACAGCGCCACTTATATGAACCACACATCGCCACTATGAACCACACAGCGCCACTATATGAATGAACCACACATCGCCACTATGAACCACACAGCGCCACTATATGAACCACACAGCGCCACTATGAACCACACCGCACCACTATATGAACCACACAGCGCCACTATGAACCACACAGCGCCACCTATATGAACACACAGCGCCACCATATGAACCACACAGTCACTATGAACCACACCGCGCCACTATGAACCACACCGCGCCACCATGAACCACACAGCGCCACTATGAACACACATCGCCATTTATGAACCACACAGCGCCACTATGAACCACACAGCGCCACTATATGAACCACACATCGCCACTATGAACCACACAGCGCCACTATGAACCACACAGCGCCACTATGAACCACAGCGACAGTTTGTTACCCAACCTCCCCCTCCTGCTACTCCACCTCCACCTCCTACTCCACCTCCACCACCTCCTCCTCCACCTCCACCTCCAAGTTATTCATTTCCACTCGCTTCATTTTTGTGCCTCTGTAAGGTGTTAATATCTGTCTGTCTATCTAGCTTTTTTTTTTAGCCCATAAACCAAACCAAACAAATGAACTAATAACACGTATCCCGTTTTCGGAGTTCATATCCTCGAGGCACACGCTTCGAGTGGTAACGTCTCGAGGGGAAGGTAAGTAGATGATATGTAATGATATATCTACATACAGTCTTGTTGGTGTTTCAATTATGAGAAAAAATATATAAGTAACCATGTATAGATGTATAAGTGAGGATATGTTACAGCAGTACAAGAGAGAGAGAAGTATAACGGATATTACAGCAGGATACAGTCGTGGTAAGGTCTGTATTGTTGTGGTGACTGGCGCTGTGATCTGTGGTGAGCGAGCGAGAGGAAGCTGAACAGATGGATGTGTGTGTGTCTGTGTGTGTGTGTGTGGGTGTGTGTGTGTGTGTGTGTGTGTGTGTGTGTGTGTACGTCAGTCAAGCGTTGTAACATGTAACTGGTGGTGGGTTGAAATATGTGTGTTTTTGTGTCGTGTGAGTGAGTGAGTATGCGTGGGTGAGAGTCGATAGGGTTATGTTAGGTTGGGTTAGGTTATCTTAAGTTAGGTTAATATAGGTTATGTAATCTGGAAGGTACCTAACCTAACCTAACCAAACCCTCCCTTCTCCTTCACTCCCACTCCACTTCCGGACAGCATTGGGCGTACAGGTATTCCAAGGGCACGTTGATCGCTTTGTAGAATAATAGTCACCGATTCTTATGATTTGTGTTGCCTTGAACTGCTAGTAACAGACATCACAGGGTCTAGATGTTGGTTATTGTAATGGCCACAATAGCATAACTAACATCTTACTTAACCAATTACAATATCTAAAAGCTTAAACGCCGATTGGTCTAGATATTCATCCTCTTTCCACTAGCCTCGTAACTATCTTGAACTATCAATTAAATCATCGTAGTCATTATTGATATTTTTCATCTTTTGAAGTAATAATATCCTTTGTAATTTCAGAGAATATATAATTACTTTAATACTCTATAAAGATGCGTTATTCTGAAACTTAACTATGTATTACTGAGAAGTATTTTCAAGTGTAAATAAAAGGAAATTTAATTCACGTCAACAATTTTTCTTCCCGGAGATGTCCAGACTAACCTAATTCACTATCTCGTCTTTCTTCTTGCTTCTTCCTTCCTCCTCTCTCTCGCCTTTCTCCCGTCTCTATCTTTCCTAACTGTCTCTGTTTTTCTATCACCCTCTCTCACTTAAGTTCATCACACACACACTAGGTCCCTCATCCTTCACCTTCACACTAGTTAACCCAAGTTCAGTATTATTAAAATCATACTTTTAGCAGCTAGGAGGAGGGAAGGAAGGAAGGAAGGAAGGAAGGAGGGAGGGAAGGAAGGAAGGAAGGAAGGAAGGAAGGGAGGGAGGGAGGGAGGGAGATAGCGCAGTGCCAAAACGCTCGACGTAGTTGTTGTTGAAGCCTAGTCATATTTGTTATTGCATTAACGCCAATCTTACCCTATATATCTTTATAATTGTTTCAAAATACACGTTGATGATTAGCTGCCCTTAAAAAAAAAACATCATAATTAAGACTAACATACAAGGGATATATTTGTGAGATTATGTTCAGTAACTCAACATTCATTACGCAGCGTGTTAAATAGGTACCTTTAACTCCTAATCTATCTTAACATTTACTTCTTATTTCCTAAATTTATTCCATATTTAAGATTTTTATATTATATCTATCGTAGTAGTGTGAAATAAGTATTTTTTGTATTATAGAGTAAATTAGTGGAATATTTTACTCTTAAAAGTAGTGATTCGGCAAAAGTAAAATAAACATAAAAGTTGTTAGTTAGTAAATTATAAATAGAAAACTAATAACACTGAAAATATTTGTGTTAATCTATTGTGTAGATATTTCGTTAAGCGGTGAATGTAAGTTATATTATTACATACTAGGAAAACCATTATAGAGACAAAGGTGCGGCTGTTCTTACCATTATATACGAAAAAATAAAACACCAACAAATGAAACGATATAGATAAACAATAATATAAGTATAGCTCTTTCATATAATTGCTTTGTCGGTATTAAAAGTTATATTAAAAAAAGATAGCAAGAACGAAGAAAAGCCTAGAGAGTATTTCATTTTGCTATCATTTATCTACTCTTATTATTCCTCTTCTTACTTTCTCCTGTTCACTGCTTCTGTAATTAACTCTTCAGTGCTAAATACATTAACTAGATTAGAAAGAAACTGTAGAAAATATAATGAAAGGCGTCAAATCAGGATCTTTAGTTGTGGATATTCCGTCATGTACTTGGTGACCTTCACGATGGCAGGCTGCCTCTTGTTGCGTCACTCTCCATCCTCATACGAGTGACGTCACACCTCCACCCTCATACTTATGACGTTACACCTCAAGCCTCATACTAGTGACGCACCCCTCGTACTAGTCACGTCATCACCAAGGTTACACCGTGACGTTACTAACACCAAGCTTACAACATGACGTCTTAACAAACCTACTTCAGTGACGTCACCACCAAGGTTACACCATGATAGGTTGCAGCTAAACCTTTCATTAAATCTCAGTAATAGACAACAGAACAACGGCCATAAATTAAATGTAAATACAATCTCATTTTCTGTGACACTTATCATTAACGATATTGCTCAAGCGTTTCATTTTTGTTTTATTTTCTTTATAAGATAATATAATTTATGTCATTAACTAAAAATATTACGAGACACTTGAAAAACAACTCAGACGGGTGAGTTTTGCAGACAATGATGAGTTATTTAAGCATTGTGTTGAGTGTGTGTGTGTGTGTGTGTGTTTTAGATAAGATGAGTTTACACGTTTAATAAAATCAGACATTAAATAGTTTCCAAAGACAATTGCACTGTGATATTTTTTCTTACAATATATAATAATAATAGCTATTCCGTCGCCCAATGAACTAGTAGCCTAAAGAGGAAGGAGTTTGTCATTCGTCTACTAACTCTACTTCATCCGGCACACATCCGACACACACACACGTGACATCACCTACAGGAAATTAAATATACTTTGTTGATGTTATAAGAAAGATAATAGTGTCACTTACAACAGCTCCGTCAAAACAGTGTCAAGGTGTCAGGAGTGTGTCATCTAATCAAGACTAAGATAACCTAACCTAACCTGTCATGAAAGCCTGTGTGTTGGACCTGTTCATGATGAAGTTAGTGTTGTAGCTTCGCCGTCTACCACACATTCAAGAGTCAGCGCCACACTACACTTGACAGTCACATCTGCTGAGTTAGGTACCTATTCACAGCTGGGATGGACTGGAGCTAACCCAACCCCAACACCCGCCCTCTCCCTCCCCACCCACCCAAGCGCGAACCAGCGACTCTTAGGGTAGGAGTCAAGCACTATACCCACTAAATCACCGCATCCATTACTGTTGTGTTATAAAGTAATAATAATCCTGACACCTACAGAGTTTTAAAGTTGATCATCTCACTCTACACTGTGTTAACCAATCAGAGAGAGAGAGAGAGAGAGCCTCCCACTTCTACCCCAGTGACTAACTGTCCATTTCATGCACTCAACCCTTCTCCCCTCACACCATAGGAAAGACCCTCTACCTCAATATAGGTCATCTGTTGCAAAGACTTAATTAATACGATAATAACACACCTTTCCCTCCCCCCCAAATAGTATAGGTAGTAATGAAGTACACCTTTATTACTTACACCTGAGGGAACCATCTTATGAACAGAGGAGTGTCGTAATCTTATCGTTATCACCTCTTTGACAATGTAACCGAGTGATATCAGATAAAACATTCAGTTGTGCAGTAGCAGACAGAAAAGTGTACAATTTACGTGCGTGGTGATGTGTTGGTGTTACTTACTGCGTTACAAAGTGTGTGTGTGTGTGTGTTAGACAGGTGTATAATAGCGGAGACGTGTTACTAATCTTTACCAATCGTGACAAGAGCAAAAATCAAGTCATTGTTGGGATGGTGACGTTTTTCAGCTGGTTACACTGTGTCAGCCTCAACTACTCGTCACCATCAACACAGTGTGACGGCAGCGAACAGTGAACAGGAGGTAGCGAACAGTGAACAGGAGGCAGCGGACAGTGAACAGGAGGTAGCGAACAGTGAACAGGAGGTAGCGAACAGTGAACAGGAGGCAGCGGACAGTGAACAGGAGGTAGCGAACAGTGAACAGGAGGCAGCGGACAGTGAACAGGAGGTAGCGAACAGTGAACAGGAGGTGGGGACGGTGAACAGGAGGTAGCGGACAGTGAACAGGAGGTAGCGGACAGTGAACAGGAGGTAGCGAACAGTGAACAGGAGGCAGCGGACAGTGAACAGGAGGTAGCGAACAGTGAACAGGAGGCAGCGGACAGTGAACAGGAGGTAGCGAACAGTGAACAGGAGGCAGCGGACAGTGAACAGGAGGTAGCGAACAGTGAACAGGAGGCAGCAAACACCTCGACTCTGTTATAGCAAAACACCTTTGACCCTTTGAAGTCATATCTGGCCCACGTCAACACCACAAATACAGTGACCTCAAAACTACAGTGGCGTCAAAACCACCGTGACGTCGAAATCACATTGACGTCAAAATCAACGACGTCAAAACCACAGTGGCGTAAATATCAGTGACGTCAAAACCACATTGACGTCAAAATCAGTGACGTCAAAACCACTGTGACGTCGAAATCACATTGATGTCAAACCCAGAGCTACAATGAGATCCACATCGCCACATTGACGTGATCACAACAGCCGCAATGAGGGCGTGCAAGGTAAGAGAGAGAGAGAGAGAGAGAGAGAGAGAGAGAGAGAGAGAGAGAGAGAGAGTTGTTAGTAATGATGTTGTAAGTAGCTGTTAATGATGGTGTTGAAAGTGCCCCTCCTCCTCCTCACCTCTCCCCCCCCCTTCTCCTCCTAGTCAGACAGCATCTTCCCCAACACAATAATTGTATGTATCTCCCCCAGACGGGCGCCCCGGAAGGAGAGGCGCCGCCCACTCACTGCCCCATCTGCCTGGACGCTTGGGATGCTCAGGAACGGCTGCCGAAGTTCCTCTCGTGTCACCATAGCGTGTGTGTGAGCTGCGTGGACCTCCTGTACCAAGCGGCCCTCACCCAAGCCCCGCCAACGTCCCCCGGGTCACCCCCCACACCCACGTCACCTCTGGGTCGTTTCATGGGTTCCAGGTCGTCCCTAAACGGCGTGTTGGAGCCTGAGGAGCAAGGGGGGTCGTCATGGGTCAAGTGTCCTTTATGTCGTTCCTCTACACTCATTCACGACCCTCATACACTCCAGACTAACTTCTACCTGAGGGGACTTTTGCGAGCACCATCCGTCCCCAGGTGAGTTGAACCACAAGGGACTGACTCTCTCTCTACATCACATGAGCACAACAGGGAGTCAACCAGCCCTCCTCCTATATACCCGAACACCAAACACTTTCACAAACCTAACCTAACCTAACCTAAATTCAACCTGACTAAGTATATAAGCCTCTGTCCTCATTATACTGGGTGTGTGAGGAGCAGAGTGTTCTTGTGTGTGTGTGTGTGTGTGACCCTCCTGACATCTTCTGCTGTCTCACCTTCAGGTTGGTGCTGTGGTGTGATACATGCAGCACCGTGGCGGCCCCCTCGTGTGCTCACCACCACCACCGGCCACTACAAGACAAGATGTGTCTACTTCAGGTACTGCTAACACATGTCGGGATAACCATCGATATAGTTCTGTTGTTCCCAGCACCATTTGTCTGTCTGTCTTTCTGTATATATATGAATTATAAACGTATATTAATGTTTACAAATTGTCTCCTCTTTTTCATTATATAACAATCTCTATTTCAACTATATAATCAATATTCCTTTCTTATATATTTCACGATATTTTTCCAGGATTTTGTAATATTTTATAAACAAGTCCTCGTGAATACTGATCAGATCTCCCACAAGTCAGGACTAAAATATGGAAGGCTATGAGTTTACATTTTTTCTTGAGACACACTGTACTGTATGGTGAGGCTAGAGATGGTGTGGTCAGGGTGGGTCTTTGAGGCTCCTTGATCACCTTCCAGAATCTTACACCATAGCACAGAGGGAGTGACTATACTGACCACCTCTAAAGCACGAGTTCGGTGACCCCTCCCTCCTCCTCCCCAGCAGATTGTACAGAATCAATAACGTGTGGTGATGCATCTTGGCAGGAGGAGCTTGTAGCAGCGGCTGGCGAGGCGTGTGGGTGGGCGTGTGGGCGTGTAGCGGAGTACGAGAGCCAGGTGGAGGTCTATAGGTGGGTTTGTCGGCTGTTGCGCCACGCCCACACGCAGGTACTCACCACTCTCACCCACGTCCAACACCAGCACCGCGCCCTCAATCGCTACAATAAGGAGGTCCTCGCTCTGGTCAGTACTGCACCCTAACACTACAGGTCTTTGTGGACATAACTTAAGGCGGGAAGAAGAGTGATAAACAGTCATAAGTAGAGTGATATATGAGGTACAAAAACGGGAAGTGTGTGTGTACGCTAAGAAACAAATGAAAAACGCACATATTTCACTAGGCCTGTATCGTTATGTATACATTGTGCACATAAGTTATTTACTAGGTTTCTTTTCCAGTAATGTTAGGCTGTGTGGAGGATATATTTTTTTTTATTTCCATGGCGCATGAAAACGAAAAACTTCCTCCAATATATAAGAGTGAGTGTTTCGATAACTTTACCCTGTGTCTTTATTTAGGTGAACCGCGGGGAGGTGTTGCAGGGGTCACAGGAACTTGAGGAGGAAGCCATCAATGGACTCGAGACTGTGGTGCAGGAGGTGAAGGACAAACATGAAGAGAAGATTGCTGACGACGATCCTCTGACGTTGACGGATACTTTCCACTTGTCAGCCAATCACCGGGGCCCCCAGGGGTACCACCGGGCCCTGCTGGTGCTGGAGGCCGACGAAGCTCTCACTCTCTCCATCTACGGTGAGAAAGAACGAGAGAAACGGGATGTAGAAGACACCAATGATGAGGAAAGAGATACAGAGCAAAAGAGGCGTTTCTATTCTCTGCAGGAGAACCGACGTAAGGAGTTTTCACCCAAAGCTAAAATGAAGGTCACGCGTTCTTTCTCCCTGCATGAACCCAGTGACGGGGTGTTGTTGGTCCCGGACAGAGCTGAGAAAGAAACACCGGCAGTCTCACAGCACCTCGTGCAGCCCTCCCCTAGCCGCCCTAAACCAAACACACGTGTCAGAGAAACTAACAACATATATGAACCAGAAGATCCCATCAGCGAGCCGTTCACACAGGTGACCGCCAGCCACAGCTTCACGATGCCTAAAAAGCCTCCTGTCGAAGCACCACCGAGCCGAGACAACAAGCGCGTCGCAAATCCGTCACCAGTAAACTCAAACACGAACCAGACTACTGTTGACGCCAGGGACAGACGTATCGGAGATGGCAATGGCCGTCACCAGAGACGCAACAGACAAGCTGAACCCACACCCAGGGACCATCAGAGGCAGAGGCCCCAACGAAGACGAAAGGGAAAATCAGGTTGTAGTGTTATGTGATTCCCGGTAACGTCTACTTGACCCCCACACCTTACACGGTACACACAGCCTTACATCAGTACTATATGAACTGTCTCTACTGGCTAAATAAACTCACCAAGTCCAACCAGAAAATATAACAGCAAGAGGAAGTAAGTGACTGATGATATCGTTGTCTTATGTCGCTGACCCTCTTGCTTCACCTTCTGTTACTCATGTTATAATGATTTGTGTGAATGTGATACAAAATATAATCAAATATATATATCCCCCAAAATAGGTGAAGTAGAATGTTATCATAAGGCGCCTGAACTTTGGCTTATGTGTTGTAAGTTTATGATAAATAATCAGAAGAATGGCTCGACTTTTTCTCGCCTGCCAGTGTTGGTGACGGATACGATTAGACCTGGACCCCTAACCTAACTTAACCTAACGTAATCCACCCCTAACCTAGCTTAACCTAACCCACCCCTAACCTAAACCACCCCCCCTAACCTAAACCACCCCTAACCTAGACTAACCTAAACCACCCCTAACCTAGACTAACCCTAAAACCACCCCTAACCAAGCTTAACCTAACCCACCCCTAACCAAGCTTAACCTAACCCACCCCTAACCAAGCTTAACCTAATCCACCCCTAACCTAGCTTAACCTAATCCACCCCTAACCTAACTTAATTTACCCCTTACCTAACCTAACCTACCCCACCCAAACTTAACCTCGTCATTATCAACAAAATAATAGTGTAACCTCCATATAAAGAACTTCTCTCTCCATTTAATCCGTTAGATGGAGGGTTTCACATCTAACGGACTCTCGATATAGCGGACTTTCCTCGCCAATTTCACCCTTAATACTATTGGTTGAATTGGGTTAGGTTAGGTTATGTTTAATAACTTCACACATTATTGTTACATAGAGACACTCACTAATCACTATTTCAAACCTTTAACCGAGTTTTCTTTATCTATAATCTATCAGAATTATCAAAAGAAATGTACCTTTATCTAGAGTTACAAACAGCTGATTAGATAATGCATTTACTGTAATAAGAAGGTTTAGTCATTGTACAATAATTATATACTTTGAGTCGAGTTTTAGAATTACCGTACGACATGACTACAGGGTGTCTTATAAAAAAAATGTATACAAACTTCCTTACATTCATAAACAAATAAGGATAATATTGCTGTTGTAAAAAGAAACATTCGTGTGATATCTATGGAAATCCGTCAGGCGTTGTGTTTGCATTTTTTTAGGGGATATCTTTACAAAACACATTAGGTTATGGATCCCCTGACTACCAGAAGTATGATAAATACCTTAAGCCAAATGATTAAAAAAAGTACCGTAGTAGAAATAAGCATCCAATGTCTTTGTTCTTTATCCCTGATCTAAATACCTTAGTCTTTACCATTGTTTGTATATTCGTATTGTCTAGTTACATTGTTGATATACTCGTACGGTCTGTTATGAAACTGTTGGGTTGGTCCTCTAATTATATGTAAGCCTTATAATGTTTGTGTAATGTTCTGTGATTTAGACTACTGATGAAATAAACGGTTAAGTGTCGATGTGAAGTACTTTAATAATGAATGATTTGTGGCATTTAACAGGGAATAGTTTTTGGAGACCTAAAGACTGCAGTTGCCATTTCACAAATAATATGCATCTATGAGAGAAAACCAAGGGGTGACTGAAATAATGTTATTAAGTTATTTCTCCTCAATCTTTTGGTTACGTCTATTTAATCTAAAGACATATTCTTACGGATATCCATGTTTATTCTCCATGGACTCGGTTCCTGGGATTCGACTCTTTTATTATGCAATCGAAAGCGCCAGTTCATTCTTCAACAATCATCCAAACGAAATGAAAGATAAAAACAAAACCAGCTGAGTAAATCCACTAAATGACTCGTGTTTCTAACATAAGGAAGTATCTGGTATGGACAGCAGGCATTATCTATATTGCCTACATACATGCTAAACTGTACACCTACATTGTCTGTACACATGATGAACAATGTACAATACCTTGATTCTGTCTATGCACATGCTGAATCCACCGTCCGCTCAACCACACTGATTTAAGAGTACTGAATGCTACCCTTCTCAAGCTGCCCCCGTGTGTCTCTAAAATCCTAAAATTTGTCGACATTTGAATGGTTTAACTACCAGTGAACAGTTGTACAAACATCCAACAATACTCGTTGCCTAATAACAGTAGTGCATCGTTTAATTCACTTTCCGTTTTCTAATGAGTCAACTCTGGGTAACTGTTTCTTCACTCAGTACTTCCTCGCTTGAAAGTCTTAGCTGTTATTGAACTAAAGAATACGTTTCCGAGTGTTATATTTAGCATCAATGAATTATATATAAATGTTCATATTTTGATCTTATTAAATTCGTTTTGACTCAAAATCATTTCGTGTTTGTTTTATAAAGTAATGTTTATTTTAATAAGTATTATAATAATGCTTCCTTTTAATACAAGCACGAAATAATAAGCCTCTAATACAAATAGCGCCTTTAATACCGTTCATAAAAGAAAAGCATTTGTTCAGGTCAGGCTTTGGGTAAATATCTAGGTAATGGAAGGTTAGGGTAGCTATCCAAGACTATCCTAAGTTAATTCGGCTTATGGTTTCTTACTATTTTTATTCCTATATTATTCTTGTACTTGTTAAAGAAATGTGAATTTGCTTGAGAAATTTCATCTTAGATAATGTTATTCCCTCAAAGTAGGTCAGTTAGGTAATGGATACAGTTGATCCGTTTTCTTTGACGCATAAGTATTCTGGGTGGATAAACTCTTTCATTTCAGGAAGCAAACGTAGATACTGTGTAAAGTTGACTAAGCTAATGAAACCCCATACCGGACGAGGTGGTCTACATAACACCAGTATGGAGGTTAACAGACTCTCTTATCCTAGAGAGAAAATAATACCAATTTAATTCACCGTCATCTTGAAGTGGTTTGATTTAGTACTAAGGATGAAATAATTTCCTTGTTCCCCAATAAACTTACATCCTGTTTGTGGTACTTGTCTTAGGGTGAGCATTAAATTGGGCTCACCATTCAATAAATTTGTGCAAGAGCTCCGCAAGTTTATTAATAAATTGAATACAAATTTACCGTAAAGAAAATTTGAAAATTCTTGGAGTCCAAAAACGTTATCGAGGTAAAATATCGGATGCAAGAAAAATCGGCATAAGTTAAGCTGATTTCCATCACCCACTGACCCTTTCCAGTGTGCAAGCCATTTTGAGGCAAACAAAATATTTATAAGACTATAGAGTTAACCTGAAGTGGTTTAATTTTGTTTTGGGTCCGTATGTGTGACAGGTTGCGTCAAGTAGCCCTGGAATGTTATGCTTTTGACGAGGTTATTGGGCTATCAGTAGTTAAGCGGATGATAGTGGTTACAGGGTAGTTCCTTCACTTCCATGCACTTGAAGAACATGTAAATAATAAATATATAAATAATCCGTAAGATTTAAGACATTAGCCCAGACGGGTATAGGCAAGTTAGGTGGCCTTGGCAGAGGTCGCCGACCCATATCGGGGTGGGGGGGGGGGGAAATCGAACCACAAATATAGAAATGAAGAAAAAACTAAATCAACTAATTGTGAAACAATATATGTATGTTGTGTTGTCAAAGTAAGAGAAACAATTCAGACCCTGCAATTGTGTGTAAATGAGGCAGAAAGTCAGATCATCAACATATGGCAGCAGGGTCTACCATTAGACAACACATTATGCTTCCAATATCTTCCCAGGCGGTAGTACCTCCCTGTTTGGTACCTGCCTATGCCTGTCAATGTTGCAGTGTATTATACGCAAGACACTAAAACACAAGTAAATAATTCGAAGCCATTAATGCTGTAGATGTTTAGAACAATAAACATACCAATAAAAGTACAAATATATATTTCACATTTTGTTTACACATTTAACAGGCAGAAAAAGTTGATAAGTTTGGTGGGATTTTTTCTACCTATAAACAACTGTGAATTAAAAATGATCATCTCAGGTTTTCAGTATTTGTAATATACCCGAATATGATAATTAAAACCCTTACATATAGTTTATTTTATATAATATTATGAAGGGAAGGCAAGAGCTGGGTCAGTGAGGGGACATGAGTCAATGGCGATGAGAAGGGAGGAGGATGACATTGGTGGCAGGGAAAGATGAAGGGAAGAACATTTGGTCTACTGTGAGTTCCGCTCGTTGATCCAGGTGCTAATTTTATTATCAATGTTTCCGACTTTGGTCTTAACATCATTATACATCTCCTGGAAGGTTTTGTTCTTCATAACGTCGGCTTTCTCCTGTAACAACAAAAAAGAACTTTCTGTTATTATCATTTAAATTACACTACTATTTTTAATTATCTAAAATAGAATAAATGTTCAAGTGGACTCTTACATGTGAATATACAGGGTGGAACAAACTGAACTCTTATAAATACAAGGAAACTGAAGCATAAGACAAGTACTTTAAAAAAAATATATTGACATACCTTAATCCAGGACCTGACGGGATTCAAGGAACTAACGAGTGCTTGGATCATTACATTTTCCTTCGCCCACTTGTTCGCAACCGCCACCTATAACACCATAACACTGTATTAATACATTCACCCCTTGTCATTTATTACTCCAGAATTCACCACTTCACCAAACAACACTCAATATAAATCTATCCTTTTATGGCTTAGAGTAACTTAAAACACGAGATGATATATATAACAGAAAATTCCCAAATAACACAACGGCTAGCACCATTATTTACCGTTTTCTTTACATCAGTGGCAACTTCTGTAGGCGTCTTGGTGGGGAATTTTTTGACGAAGTAGTCAGTCATGGGCCGGAATAAATTCTTAAGAGCATTAATGGTCTTGGATCCCGTATACCTGAAAGAGTATTGACTTTATAATGAATACCGAAAAACCTTCCAAAATCACCGAGTTTCAAAGTTTGATAAATATAAGGTAATTATAAGTTAGAAATAATAGTTTACATAAATATTTACTTTGGTTAAGAAGACGATTGTGGGTTATATTTAGTCTATACACAATTACTTATAAGAACTTTTTATAACTGCAAAGGCGTAAAAATAGTTTCCAATCCATATCTTATTAAAATTCTACTAACTAAAGTGGAATCATTGAACAAAAAATAACACGTATATAAGACTGAACCATGGCTGAACAAAGGTTACTATCACTTGAGGTTTGTTCATCAATATAATCAGAACAACTACATTATGGAAGGAAACATTGAGTGATCACCTAAACATCTTCGAGTCAATAACCTTACAACATTCCACAGCAACACTGGAGCATCATAACACTGACTGCAGCATCACAACACTGACTGGAGCATCACAACACTGACTGGAGCATCACAACACTGACTGCAGCATCACAACACTGACTGGAGCATCACAACACTATATAGAAGGAAATAATGCAAATACAGTATCAAAAGTTAACCTGTGAACTTACGTTTCTTCTGGGTTGTTGTTGTTGTCAAGCGGGACAGCGAACACCTGGGCTACCGCCACTACCAGGAGTGCAGCCACGAGGAACCAAGACACACGCATTGTCACCTGTAAGATGAAGAAGAATCATTTAAAGAATTGCATTACACTTCTCAGTATAAAAATAATAATAAATGCGGCGTGGTGTGAAGCTGTGAGACCTATTTGTGATTTATTGAGTACATTAGGTGTTGTCCTTCCATTAAAAGTAAGGGTGAAGGATTTTTTTTACGGGGATTAACCCACCCGGGCACAGGTCACTGATCCACATCGGGGCCTGGGGGGCGAAAATGTAATAATAATTCATAATAAATAAAAATTTAAATAAAAACAAAATAATAATAATGATAATAATAACACTGTAATAGTAATAATACTCACAATAAAGAACCATAAAGAAATAAAACAAAATATCAAAAGTGAGAAACAATATATGTACGTTGTGTTGTCAAAATAAGAGACACAATTGAGACCCTGCAATTGTGTGTATATGAGGCAGAAAGTCAGTTCAGCGACCTGAGACTTGGTCACAATTTGTGAGATGCCATACGGCAGCAGGGTCTACCATTAGAGTGTTGGAATAATCGTGTTACAGGTTTGTTTTTTATCTGTTGAAGTATCAGATGTGTCAACTAGTCACCTCGCTGTGTGGCAGACTAAAATCTCGAGGGTTCAGTTATATAAATACGTAAACAAGACTTGGTGTGGTGATGAAACGGTAATGGTGGATGGAGAGCGGGAGTTGGCAGGGTGGTGGTAGCAGGTAGCCTCACTGAAGCCTTAAGACTTGGTGAGTTAGGGTGGAAGGGGAGGTGGTGGTGGTGTGGTAGGGGAGGTGGTGGTGGTGGTGTGGTAGGGGTGGTGGTAGGACTCGTAGCAACAGATTTAAGTTGGATAAGTTAGGTTTAGGAGGGAGATAGGAAGGAACTGGTGTACAAATAGGGTGGTGGACGAGTGGAACAAGCTTAGCAACTTTGTAGTAAGTGCGGGAACGCTGGAAAGTTTTAAAAGGAGGCTAGATAGATTCATGGATGATAGAGAGTGGTAGTAACTCTCGACAGGAGCTGCCATGCACAGGCCAACCGGCCTATTGCAGACTCCTTATTTTCTTATGTGGTGGTGGTGTGGTAGGGGTGGTGGTGGTGTGGTAGGTGGTGGTGGTGGTGGTAGGGGTGGTGGTGGTGCTGCATTGGTGGTGAGGGGTAGTGGGTGGTGGTGGTGGTGGGGGTGGTGGTGTGGTGTGGTGGTGGTGTGGTGCGGTAGGGGTGGTGGTGTGGTAGGGGTGGTGGTGGTGTGGTAGGGGTGGTGGTGGTGCGGTAGGGGTGGTTCACGGCCAAGGTGAAGGACAGTGGGGTAGCAGTAGGGCGGCCACACAAACAACATAGTATTACATAACCCTGAACCTCTCATGATCACTGATTAAATCTACTGTCTGTACATTTAAGAGCTAATTTTTGCTGACGATTTGTAATAAACTGTTGAAATGAAATCACGAAGAGAGCGACGCATATAACAGGGGCCAGGGGGTCAACAGCCTAGGAAATGGGGAAGGCTGGAAGTGTCTTGTTCACGTTGAAGGAGGAACTATGACCACGGAGAAAAAGCTTCTATAATAAAAGTCTTGGTTTATTAAGTATTGTTATTCACACTCAGTACACGTAAATATCATTGGATATTAAAGTGTGAATGAACAATTACGTTAGATTAGCATTAGGGCGATTAATCTTTAAGTCAAATAAGCTGGGGTGGAGATTCTTCAGGTAATCCCAAATTATCACTAAACGTTCGTAAATGTAACTGCTGATCATTTAAAGTTGTTAACTACATGGACAAAGGTTTAAGAATTCAATTACATGAAGAGAATTTAGTTTTACCACATACAATACTGTACTACAAGACAACTTACGAGTTTAAGTGGAGTAACCGATGTAAGCAGAATATTATCCTCTTCTCCTTGACTGAAGCAAGTGACTGTTACTGCCAGCTCCTCCCGGCCGCTTTATATCTCCTCTCCTGACTCACTTCACCTCCAACCTAATTTTGGCGAGAAGTAATATTAGCGTCCGTGTATACATTTCAATATCGACCTAATGTCATTTCATCAGGAATAACTATAATGAAACTATGATTAACTGAGTATTATTATCATATCCAAGCAATTATCTTATGTCCGTATATTCAATTTCGTGTCCATAAGTTGTACTGCCTTCCGCTAAATACTGAACTCGTGTTCTCAGAATGGAGGGATGACTCGGTGGTGACGTACTGAAGGTTCTCGTCGGTGATTGGTGGAAGTGTCCTTAGTGGGCAGTCACACTTCCGGTCATCCTGTCAGGTCAATTTCTGAAAAAAAAAGAAAAGCGCAAAATCCGAGTCATTGCTTTCCTTTTATTTTTATTCTTCATCGTAACTTTATGTACTTTGAGAAGGTGAAGTTACGGCCCTAGCAGTATATTATTATTATTGAATTCTAGGATGCGTCAGGTAGTTCCGTGGGGGTAGTATAAACAAGATTTGGTAATTTCGCTGGCAATTGGCTTAACTGGTGTCCTGGTACAGTACGAATCCTACAAATACTGCTATGAATACTACTACTACTACTGCCGCTACCACTACTATTACTACTAAAAATAACTTTGACAACAAAAAGTAATAATGGACAAAATTGATTGTATAAAATATTTTAGACATGCACAATTAGTTCCATCCAACACTACTATAATAAAAATAATAACTAGACAGTCCTCATAGGTGTTAAGAAGATGAATTTATCAAAACATTTAATAGGTTTCTTTGCAATACAGTATCCGTCGAAAAATACTTTAGTCTGAATTGTCTGAACATTTTCTTTGCGGTTCTTGCGGTAAACGTCAGCGGGCGACACTACCACCCCCTTTGTCACCATTCATTCAGTTTATATACTATAGAAGAACAAGGGGGTGATTTTATATACTTCTCGTGGATGATTAAATTGGGTTAGTTTAGATTAAATTCCGTTATGCGAAGTTAAATTAGGTTAAGTTAGGTTAATGTTATGTTAAATTAGGTTAAGTTTGGTTAGGTTTGATTAAGTCATGTTAACTTTAGGGTGAACTCATCAGGTGAAATAAACTGGGTGTCTAATATTCATGAGGTCTACATTTCCTTTGTCATGAGTGAAGTTTCGAAGGCATGAAGAGAAACACAGGGTCCTGACTCCTAAGGCGTTAGTGCTTCGTGGCCTTGATGGAGCGGCCGCTGTCCTCACCTGCACCACCTCCCCAGGCGGGCGAGCGCAGCATGATGTCTGTTACTCACCAATACTGTTCCCAACTGTTGTGTGGTAGAAGATACTTGAATACATTACCATGCTAATTTCGACTGTGATAATTGATTAAAGTATAAATTAATCAATACAGGTTTCAAATATTTATCTATCATAAAGACATAATACATCGGGAATTATTTATTTATTATAATTCTCTCCATCAACTGTCAAATAATGGGGTTTCCCTATTCTTATATTCTTATGTGAGACAACACCACCACTTTGGATCTTACGGTGTGGTGTAGGATGGGTTACGTTACACTTGAGTCATTACTGGATACTGACTGGACTAGATAACCATAAACACAGGATCTTTCGGAAATCGCTTAGTCGTCTGCATTCCATGAAGCGTGTGAGAAGGAGGAGGTGCTTTACTAGTAACTGCTAGGATTCTTGGGTCCTGGGTTAGCGGGAGTTTCCTTTATCCACACAACTTTGAAATTTGGAAATATTTTTAACGTATAGGGGAAGAGATTGTTATGGTTTAATTTATTATCACGTCAAAATAGTCATAGCAAGTACAGTAGTGGTATACAGTTCGTTTAAGATACAGCACACTGCCCTCTTGCAAATATACTATGAACAATGCTACACTGCCGCTATGAACAAAATGAGTAAAAAAAAAAAATATATAATTTTTTTTACAAACACCTTACTAGTGTCAAACTTTCAGCTTCTTAACTCCATAAGCGACTATAGTTAGATATTGCTTGGACAACTAAGACAAATAATCAGAGTAATTACTAAATCCTTGGGCTACACACTTAGCGCGGCACCCTGAGTCTGACTAGAAGAGAGACGATGTACAATTTTTATTTTTATTATTTTCATTATTATTATTATTATTATTATTATTATTATTATTATTATTATTATTATTATTATTACTATTATTACTATTATTATTACTACTACTACTACTACTCCTACTACTATTTTTTCTTTTGATATTTGGCCTCCAGCCTCCCCCAATAGCCACACCTTCGCCGCCATTTTATTACCTTGATATTAAATATCCTAATGCATAAGTAGCTATCCTATCTGTGTTGAATTATTTGAGCAGCAGATCTATGCGGCATTCGGTGACTGTAGCCTCATAGTCAATATTTGCAGCAGTTGTCGGCATTGGGGCAGAAGCTCTCGTTCCCCTGAGGCAGAGCAAAGCCGACCGAAGGAGAAAGACAGTCGACATCTCATCCAGGCTGTAACATAACTTCTGGGCTGCTGCTTCTGTTGTGAACACTAGAGGAGTGAAGCTGCCTTGATCAACGTTTTGAATTCTCTCCCCTTATGCCCTTCTCTTGTCGTTCTCGTTCCTCCTATGTGTAGCATCGAGAGCTAAGTTATGGTGACATGCGGCCATGGGATCAAACTACTACTACTATTATTATTATATTATTATTATTATTATTATTAATATGGATCACCTGAAAAATCGTCGCCCCAGAATGTCCACCTGAAGAATTGTCACCCCGGGATATCCCACCTGAAGAATCGTCACCCCAGCCTGCTCCACCTGAAGAATCGTCGCCCCAGCCCAGTGAATATAATTTGTATAATTAGGATAACATAAATATATTCCTTTGTGTTATGCTTCTTTATTGTGATGCATATTACAAAGGGTACTGAACAGCAATGTGTTGACATAAAATTTCCAGAGGATTATCAGAAAAAAGATCATTCCATATGAATGTAACTCTTGTTCTTGTTCCAATGATTCAATCGTTTGTGTGTGCACACCAGTATTCACATCAACAAAATTGACTAAAAATTTTTGAGCCCACTCACTATTATATAGTCCTCCTACCTGACTGGAGGGTCCTGATCCCAACTGAAGAATTGTCACCCCAGGTGTTGCCACCTGAAGAATCGTCGCCCCAGGATATCCCACTTGAAGAATTGTCGCCCTGCCGGACTCTGGGGCGACGATTCTTCAGGTGATTTATTATTATTATTATTATTATTATTTTAAGGGTAAGGCTTTTATAAGAATGAAACCAGGTAGGACTGAGTTTAAGCACACCTGTAGGCCCATACCCAAGGGAGATAAATTCTGGGACAGGTACAGGAGGGGTGACTCAGGTCAACTTTAGCTGTGGTATGTTACCTCCTCACCCCCCTCCCCCACCCCATCACCTTGGGGCGGGGGGGGGGGGTAAGGTACATTACAAGTGCGGGTGTACTTGTAGCGTGACGTAGCAGAAAAGCTGTTGTATTGCCGTGGGGTCTCAGGGGAGGGCGCGGGCACACACGCATACACACACGCACGTCTCTATTTGAATCTCATTGTACTGAAAGTGTCGACACGATGATGACTCACTCACTCCCTCACTGACTCACTCAACCATCATGAGCCGGACGCATCAATGAAAGGACCACTGAAGCTAAGAGTACTGTACCGACATTTTCTCGAATTGCTTTACTGTTTACCAATGTTGGTATACCTGTACTGTCTAGGTATATTGTTTGTATACCTGTACTGTCTAGGAATAATGAGGTAAGGATAGCAAGGGAGGCGAAGACAAACCCCAAAGGATTCTATCAAATGTATCAAATTAAAACACGAGAAAAGATTGGACCAATACGGTCAAATACCTGCGAGCTAACCGATAATGACGGAGAAATGAGCAATAATCTGAATAAATATTTTTCAACAGTTTTCACCACCGAAAATTTAAACATGATACCCGAGGCACCGACTCTATACAGAGATAGTGAAGAAAACAAATTAAGCGAGATAGTAGTGACTAGTAACGATGTTAGCAAGCAAATAGACAAACTAAAGCCTAATAAGTCACCTGGTCCCGATGAGATATTTGCCAGAGTATTAAAGGAATGTAAGGAAGAGCTTAGTATGGCCCTTAGCAAAGTTGTTTAACATGTCCTTAAAAACAGGTGTAGTACCAAAATCCTGGAGGATAGCGAATGTAATACCGATTTTCAAGAAGGGGGATAGATCACTATCCTCTAACTACCGCCCAATCAGTCTAACATCCGATTGATCAATGATTCCCAGCATGGCTTCACAAGCGGACGTTCTTGCCTAACTAATCTATTAACATTCTTTTCATCAGTTTTCGAATCAGTGGACGAGGGGCACAATTATGATGTGGTATATCTCGACTTTAGCAAAGCCTTCGACAGAGTCCCCCACGAAAGACTAATTAGAAAGGTAGAAGCTCATGGCATCAAAGGTGACATCCTTAAATGGATTAGGGCGTGGTTACAGGACAGGAAACAGCGAGTGAGCATTAACGGCACTAAGTCCCATTGGAGCAACGTCACAAGTGGAGTTCCCCAAGGCTCAGTACTTGGACCATTATTGTTTATTATATACATAAACGACATAGATATCGGCATAGACAGCAACATAAGTAAATTTGCTGATGATACTAAAATAGGACGTGTTATCAAATCTGACGAGGACTCGGCAAAACTACAGGAGGATCTAAACAAATTTTTCGAATGGTCTGAAAAATGGCAGATGAAATTCAACATCGACAAATGTAAAGTACTCAGTATAGGAAATGTAAACAGGGAAACCAGATACCAGATGAACAAGGATGCCATAGAGAAATCCGACTGCGAGAGAGATTTAGGAGTAATGATAAGTAGGAACCTTAAGCCAAGTAAACAATGTGTTTTTGCTCGTAACAAGGCTAATAAAGTACTTGGGTTCATACAAAGGAGTGTTAGTTACAAGACTAGCGAGGTCATCCTAAAACTGTA